AAACTCCCACCTTGCAAAAAGCCCAACGTCCAACGACTATGCCAGTTGCTCGCGGAAGCCGAGAAAGAAGAAAACGGGAAGGACACAAAGATCGAGGAGGTCAAGGAGGAGAAGAGGTCGTCAAAAGACGAGCCGACGTCGAAATAAGCGATTCGACGGCGTCGGCCAAGGACTTAATTTCTACTGGTGCGCAATCATGTACTTCTAGCTGGACTTATACTACATATGTAGGTACCCCGTATGAACAATATACTCGTATTTTCGCCGCGTTACCAGTTGAAGAGATTAAGAACAAGGAATCGCAAAGCACCGATGGCGTAGGAGGGGATTTCCGCCGCTCGACACGGTCTGCGTCAAGCAATGAACCCCTAGGGGCGTCCACAGCTCGGGAACCCCCGGCTCACCGCACAGGGAAAGCCCCTCGAGGGCAGAGCCCCCTAGGTCGAGTCCCGACTGCACCCCAGACGTGGGGAGGTCATCCCGGAGAGGGAGAAAGGCCGACAACCCAGCCCGCTGGGCCTGCGTCCTCGTCTGTGGGGCCGTCTGTTCCAGCGGGATGCGCTGGAAAAGCAGCTGAGGCGGTGAACTCGGGCGACCACCCTCACCCAGTAGCCCTTACATCGGCAAACAGGGAGGACCATTCGAGGGAGTCAATATGTGTGCCCCCGTGAAGGGTTACCCGAAGTACCGCCGGGTCCAGGAGGAGCGGTAAGCACGGATCCATAGTGGGGGTTACAACGCCACGCACAAGCGCCCGTGGCCAGGGCCGAACACAGGGCAGCGAGCCCTCCCCCACCACCTCGACTACCAAAGGCACCCAAGTGCCGCCTCAGGACCCTTCTCGTCCCGGTGACCAAATGCCACTTCGAGGGAAGACCCCATCGGTCTCATTAGAAGAAGTAGAAGACGAAGAAGCTCATTTGCGGTCTGACATACCGGTCGTAACCCCCAAAAGAGCGTCTTCTCCCGCCGTCTCGCTCACCGCGACCCCTAACGATAAAAAGGTGATCGCGGAGATGTACTACGAGCCCTATGGCATCCTGTGGACTCGACGGGCTTTGCGAGTCACTCGAGGAGATGCCGCCGCCCGTGCAGTACTCAACGGTTGGGTACATCCTCGACGTAGGGGGGAGGTCACGGACCAACTATGTTGCCAGCTGGAGGAGCAGACTGAGACGGCTAGTCAAGCGAGAGAGAGATGGCAGTGGATGGAGGATTTGCAGAAGCCCCCAATGTATATACGGGGCAGGAAGGGACGGAACGTCTCAATAAAAGTGCAATTAGAGACCTTGGATACGAGGGAAACCCACGCTGTAAGTGCCCTGGTGGACAGCGGGGCCACCAGTAGTTCAATCGACCGCACCTGGGCCCAGACCCATCATCTCAATCTAAAGAAAGCGGCCCGACCCGTTCCGGTCTATAATGCCGACGGCACTCGCAACAAAGGAGGGGATATCACTGAATATGCCGAAGTGCGGCTACGTATAAGAGACCACGTGGAGCGGATCGAGTTGGCGGTAGTCGATTTAGGCTCCACTCCCCTGTTCCTAGGACATGACTGGTTGCAACGTCATAACCCGCTCATTGACTGGGACACCGGAGCAGTTACCTTGGCCCGATGCACATGCAGGAAAATCCCCTTTTCCCTCCCCGACACCGACCCCTCGGCATGGTGGGACGAGTATGAGAAAGGGGATACCATTCTGGTAATAGACTTCGAAGAAGCGTTCCATGTACGAGCTATGGGAACCAGGGCCAACGAGCTGGCGGCCCAGGCAAATGCCAAAAAGACCGCCAAGTCGTTCGAAGAAATAGTGCCTGAAGAGTATCGGGAGTTTAAGGACATCTTCGACAAGGAGAACTTCGACGAGTTGCCCCCTCGCAAGCCTTGGGATCATGCCATTGAGTTGATCCCCAATGCTAACGCCAACTTAGACTGTAAGGTCTATCCTCTCAACCATGCCGAGCAGGAGGAGTTAGACAAGTTCCTAGACGAGAACTTGTCTACCGGTCGAATTCAGCCCTCGAAGTCCCCTATGGCTTCACCATTTTTCTTCGTTAAGAAAAAGGATGGCAAGTTGCGCCCAGTCCAGGACTACCGCAAGTTAAACGAGATGACTATCAAGAATCGTTATCCGCTGCCACTCATCGGAGAATTAATGGACAGGCTAAAAAGGGCCAAATACTTCACTAAGCTGGACGTACGATGGGGTTACAACAATGTGAGGATCAAGCAAGGAGACGAGTGGAAAGCTGCCTTCTGAACCAACCGTGGACTCTACGAGCCCCTGGTAATGTTCTTTGGGCTTACCAATTCTCCCGCTACGTTCCAGTGGATGATGAACGATATCTTCAAAGACCTGATCGCAGCCGGGGAAGTGTCGGTCTACCTGGATGACATTCTTATCGCCTCAAAAACCAAGGCCGAGCACTGGAGGATAGTACGCAAGGTGCTACAGATTCTCCGCGAAAACAAATTGTTCCTCAAAGCGGAGAAATGCGAATTTGAGGTGGAGGAAACCGAGTACCTGGGAGTCATCATCAGCAAAGGAAAGATTCGCATGGACCCAGTGAAGATCGCCGGACTACTCGAATGGCCCGTCCCCCGTCGTAAGCAAGAATTACAGTCCTTCCTAGGGTTTTGCAACTTCTACCGACGATTTATCCGTGACTATAGTAAGCATGTCAAACCCCTTACATCCCTTACCGGTAAACAAGAGTGGGGATGGGGGGAAGCTCAACAACGAGCGTTTGACAAGCTTAAGGAGTTGTTCTGCGAGGACGTAGTGCTCGCTATTCTGTTAGACGAAGGACGATTTCGAGTGGAGGCAGACTCTAGTGAAGGGGCGGTCGGGGCAGTACTTTCACAGTGGCAAGACGAGAAGTGGCGACCAGTAGCCTTCCTTTCCAAGGCGCTCTCCGCTACCGAACGCAACTACGAGATCTACGATAAGGAACTCCTGGCAATTATGATCGCCCTGGAGGAGTGGCGCCAGTATCTCATGGGAGCGAGAGAAGATTTCGAGATCTGGACAGACCACTCCAACCTCCAATATTTCCGCAAACCCCAAAAGCTCAACCGACGGCAAGCGCGGTGGGTGACAGAGCTAGCGGAATATCAGTTCACTCTCCATCACAAACCCGGGGCCCAAAATCGCAAAGCAGACCTCCTGTCGAGAAGGGCAGACCACGACCAAGGCAGGGAGGACAACCAAGATGTCGTAGTACTCAAGGCGGAGCATTTCCGAGCCCTAATCATGCCCACCGCCGAGGAACTACATGAGCAGATCAAGGAAGTAACGCACAATCCTCATCGCTGGGACCGAGGGATCTCAGATTCCTTAAACCACGAGAAGGGTGTTTCTCGCAACCAGGACCTGTTATGGTACGACGGGCGAATCTATGTGCCCATAGATTCGCCCGTAGACCGCGATCTTCGAGGACAGATCATAGCCCTCAAGCACGACCACGTTACCGCTGGCCACCCCGGTATCGAAAAAACCAAGGAGTTGGTACTTCGGGACTACTGGTGGCCGAGAATGCGTCGAGACGTAGAAGCGTACGTAAAGGGATGCGACGTCTGCCAACGAACCAAGGTGGATCGTCGTCCAAAGAAGGCTCCCTTGCACCCCAACGAGGTCCCAGTTCGCCCTTGGACGCACATTTCGGTAGACATGATCACCAAGCTACCGAATTCCAAGGGTTTTGACTCTATCTTGGTAATTGTCGATCGCTTCTCGAAAGCCATTATCCCTATCACGTGTAATGAACAGCTTACGTCGTCGGGGTTCGCTAGAATCCTAAGGGACTACGTCTACGTACCCTATGGAGTAATGCCCGAGAAGGTAATCTCCGATCGGGGCTCAGTATTCGTTTCCAAATTCATGAAGGAATTCTATCGACTCCTACACGTTGAAGGAAACCCGTCCATGGCCTATCATCCTCAAACGGATGGACAGACCGAGAGAGTAAATCAAGAGATCGAAAAATACCTCAAGATGTTCGTTAACGACCGGCAGGACGATTGGAGCGAGTGGTTACCGCTGGCGGCTTTTACCCATAATAACCGACAGCACTCGGCCACTGGGTACTCCCCCTATAAGGTCATCTTCGGAAGGGATGGGGAGGTCATTAAAAAGCCTCAGCGAACGACAACGGTTCCAGCAGCGGGAAAGATGGTGGAAGAAATAGAAAGGGCGCAGGAGGAGGCCAAAAAGTCACTAGAAAAAGCGGCGGAGTCCATGAAAAGGACCCACGACAAGCACAAAAGCGCAGCCGTGGAGTACCAAGTCGGAGATAAGGTTTGGCTTGATACAACCAACCTTCACCTCCCGCGACCGACTAAAAAGCTGGGCGACCGACGAGTGGGTCCTTTCGCAATCATCGCAAAAAAGGGGGCCTCAGCGTACGAATTGAAGTTACCGGCCGCGTGGAAGATCCACAACTGCTTCAATGAGTCCCTGCTGACACCCTACGTCGCGCCCTCCTTTTCAAATCAACCACAGCCCGAGAGGCCACCTCCAGAACTGATCGAAGATGAGGAAGAATACGAGATTGAAGAAATCGTGGAGCAGCGAGACAAAATAGTGGGCCGGGGACGAACGCGTCGCACCATCACGGAATACCTGGTAAAATGGAAGGGGTACCCGAGGGAGGAGAATTCCTGGGTCAAACGATCGGATATGGCCAATGCCGAAGAGTTGGTAAACGAGTATGAAGCTCGTATCCAAAAGATTCATTGGGAGGTCGACAAACATGGAAAAACGGTCGGGAGAGACGATAAAATACCCCCAGGCATGGGAATGGTCTATCACGATCCGGATACCCCATGCGTCACAGATGTCGAAACCGTCTACTCCTCCCAATGTTCGGCTCCAGCGCATTCCGACGAGGAAATCAACATGATAGGGGAGGTAGCTGGCTCGGATGCTGGACGAGGCAACGGGCCCATATCCACCTCCTCGTCCTTCTGAAGGCTTGTAGTGGAGATATCGGAATTGATGGATCGCGCCTTACAGGAGGAGAACAAAAAATGGCTCCGGGACAACAATGTCCCGGATGACAACTATTGGAAGTACACTCCGCAGAAAACGGACCCACGATTCGACAATCCTAAGGTTCGCGACTCCTACCTGCGACGACGTGCCCAAGAAATCAAAGACTCTAGGCGGGAGAACAGACCCTACAAGAACCCACCAATCCTACTCGACCCTCCCACTGATGACAAAGCCGATGTAAACCACCTTCAAAAGGTGACGGAAAATTGGGATTTTGATAGCGAAGATGATGACAACGATGATGATAGCATCATGTCCTTTGACAGTCAATCGCGGCAAAGCGGAGAGGAGTCTGAGGACTCATTTGGGACGAACGAGTCTTAAAGGGGGGGTAATGTTATGGTTTATTCCTTTTCTTTTCCTTTTTCCTTACGTATTCACGCTTACTCCAAAGTGCGTTTTCTATCGGACACTTCCCACAGTACTATTTTTAGTTAGCCATCGTGTATTTAAGTAACGCCTTAGCTGGGTTCAACCCCAGCTTCGGCTAAGGTTTAATCTACCTAACATCGAACTCCGTTCTTCGCGACTATCTAAGTTCGCTCCTGACTCCGTTTCATCGCCTTTAACCTCCAAGTGTTTCGTCTACCGAAGTGCGAGTAGTGATCCTTGGTTGATTTAAGTCGATAAGAGTTAGTGGCTAACATGGGTGTAGTACTCTGGGAGCTTGTCATTATTACTGTCGGAGTATTCTGTGAATATGACATCGTTGGTTCCATCTCCAGTGGTGTCATTAGTGGACGTTTCTGAGATATGGGCAAAGCGAGGCTCTGCGAAATCTCTGAAGTCAGCAATGGTGATAATCGTTCGGGGTAGGACTTCGGACTCGGGACGGGGGGAAGGCCAAACAAAGTCTGACTCATGGACGGACTTGTTGTCCCACCAGGACGGGGGTCCTTCAACTCTGTAGGTTCCATCAGGGGTGTATGACGTGAGAGAGGTTGGAGCGTCATGCCACTCCGGCTTGGGAGATTCATCTCTTCGATGTCCTCCTGTGTCGGATACTCCCCATACTTCCCCTCGTTCCCAGGCAGGGAGGAACAGGTTTTCACCTTCTTTGAAGGTGGTTCTTCACCTGGTTCGTCCATGGACAATTCAGTTGAATGCGTCAATGTAGAACCCACTCGTCCCTCTTCGATAGAGGTGCTCTCCATCATCATCGAACCCTGGGATGGCTGCTGATAACTCTGTGGAGGAGACTGCTGACTCCCAGGAGTCATTGTTGTCGCCCCAGGTTGTAGCATCCCAGGACCCATCTGTATTGGTCCAATACTCAGTGGTAAACCTGGGGTCGACTCGGTCGTCTCCGTCATCTGGAGGGATGCCGAGTCATCCGAGGTCTTCTTCCCGAAGGGATTCTTGGCCTTCACCGTCTTGGTGATCCTCTCCCTGAAGCTCGAACGTGGGGGGTTGCTCTTCTCTGTCGGGTAAGGGGTGTCAAAGTGCGTCTCGCTCCCCCCTTGGCCGTGGTGTGAGGGACCGGAGCCGGACAGTGCTTGTTGTTCGTGAGGTTCCTGTTGATGAGCCATTGAGCCTGTGTACTCTCCCTCTTCCGGGGGTCGGTGCTCTTTGGCGTCGGGTTGGTCGGAGGATATGGAGAACTGCAACTGCAGTTACTAGTGTCAAGATACTGAAAGTACTTCCAAAGATAATGGCGGTGCAGTCTGAGGGGGCGAGCGGCATAAAGTTCGTTGTACCACAACAAATGTTTATGATCTCGGGGTACGATGGGTGCCGTTTTAAATAACGGGCTGAGGGTTTTTCTTTGGAAGTATAACAGTGACTGCCTTGAAGCGGTACAGTTACTGTTAACAATGGTAAGGGTAGTAAGGGCAAGCTTCGGCTAATTGTTAAGCACTAACTCTAATCTGAACCAAAGCTGATCTCTATCCTGTCACTCGCGTTTGGTGATTCAGTGTTAGAGAGGCATTGGTAGATTGCAAGAGGTTAGGCGTCACTTATAGCGAAAGCAAGGAGCTTGTAAGAGTTAGGAGTATATAACCTTAGCCAAAGCTGGGGTCTGAGGCCACAGCATAGGCTAGCTTAAATACATGTTAACCTTGTACTAAGAATAGTATCTACAAGGGCGCATGCAACGAGAAGTGCGTCTTTCAACGAATGAGGAGGGAGGACACTAAAAGAAGTATGCTCCCGACGAATGAGAGTAAAGAGTGTATATCACCTGCATCTGCATGGGACTCCGTCTGAATAGGCTGCATCCCGTAGACCGCCCTCGACTGGCGGTCGACTCTCGTCCAACTGCTAAGAAGCATGATGCCATCAAGAGAAGTGTGATGGCGCATGCGGGTCGCTGGTCACCTGGAGGCAGCAGTGTGAACTGGGGTGATGGCAACCAGGTAACCAGGTAAAGAGTGTGCCAGCAGAATATCATAGGTCCAAGAGATAAGATAGGCAGGTCCAGGGTTCCAATGGATAAGGATAAGATAAGATAAGGAAAATAGGGGTAAAACCATAATACATTCCCTACAACTCTGTGGATGAGCAGGCTGATGCATCAGTTCAGAAGTTCCCTGGGCAGAGCGAGGTGATAATCATGCTTCGTGCGGGGGAATTGTAGGTTGAAATCCTTACTTTGCAGATCTTCAACCCCTCAGCTTTGATAAATGATTTTATATTGGAGTCTGTAAGTTACAGCCTCCATAAGAGCCACACTCTGGCTCACCTCCCTCATATTGACTCCCTAGTATCCTGATGCCACTGTTGCACTCACACATGATGACCACCTTTGGATGGGCATCGCAGACAAGGCATGTTGCAGTATTTTTGACAGATCTTCCAATTTCATTAATGGCCTTGCTAGGTTCATAACTCAGTTGATGCCGCAGAGCTTGCGAGATATGCCATTGTTAATAATCTAGTCCTTATTAGCAAAGGTAAGACATTCATTGTTTATAGTTGTGTTTGAGTCGACGTACCAGCTTGTTTTAGGTTCAGGACCACATAATGCCTGCATAGCTAAATGAAGGTGGTCTGGCAAATGAAAATTTGCACATGTTCGACAATCGTATTCTTGCTACATTAGTAGAACATCCTAGTGGGGATGTCAGACATCCTGGGAGTTTTTGACAACTGGCCAACATAGAGTAATCTGTAATCTAGAAATCCTGCTGTGATATCCTTTGTGAATTGACACAACATAAGCTGCAAGCATCGACAGAAAGTGGATACAAAATCAAACTTAACACACCGACATGGCGCAATGTATCTAATAACAGGATATTTCAGTTTTGCATAGCTTATTGTCATCTCTCTCAGGTACACACTAGGGTATAATCATTTGGAATGATGAGAGACAACATCAGAAAGTGAGATCCACTTCTGAGCCAGCCGACAGCACCAGTAATATGAAACGACATTGGAAGACATGTCCAATTTCCAATTCTGCAGTCGACATTAAAGAAATTGGACTCTGTATGAGCATGTTTAGGAAGTATTACAGTCGTCTGAAATGGGGCTGTATGAAAGGGAAACAAACTTGGACCCAGTCTGGACATATATGTATCTGAGTCCCCTAATAGATATGCATGCTCAGAGCACTCATTGATGCATGATGAATCCATTCTTTACACAGACCATATCCTTCATTATGAGGCAGCCTGGTCTGCTAGATTTCTGTTTGAAAGGTGTTAGTTGACAGTTAATTGTGATACATCAGGAGTGTCAGTTTACATCCAGCCCATATACAGTAATTCCATCAGGATGATAAAGTGGCTTAGTAAGCTTCCCAATCTGTGTCAATGATGGCATCATTAGAAAAGAGGGCAATTCCGGGAATTGAACCCGGGACCTCAAAAATAAATCCAATAATGTCATATGACTTTCTCGAGCAGACATTGCTTATTTTGTTTTTCGCACTTCGGATGGCCTGGGGAGCATCACCATTGGATTCCCTGATATTAAAAACCCCAAAACGACTCCATCCTTCATTTATAGGGTCTCAAAAACGACAGAAATAATGATATTACAGTTTAGGAGGAGCACATGTAATAAATCCTATTTCTGGGCTTCGGACCACTTCGGAGGTTTTTTCATTATGTTTTCTGACCAAAATAACACTCAAATGACCCCACAGGACAAAGATAACCATCAGAAATACATGATAAAAAGAGTAATAGGGGGATGGAGGAGACATACCTTATATTTGCATTTCTAATAGTTGTGGAGGGGATTTCTGTGATATAACAGACATTATATGTCATATAATGGTGTGTATGAAACCCCATGGGTATCTGACATGTATTGAAAGAGATGTGAGCAGATCATTCTGTAAAACAGGAGGAGCACATCCCATATTTCGATGTTCTGCTCATTCTATGGCCTGGGGACTATCAGAATCGGAGTCCTTGACCCAAAAAACAGTAGAGGCACTTATCATCCATAGGAGCCATTTTACCCAGATAACACATACAGCCATATGTAGCTACAGGACAATGTATGTGACAAATGAGAGAACATCTTGTACTTCGGAGTTTAGACATTTGAACACTATGGATGATAGGTGGCCCTACTGTTTTTTGGGTCAGGGAATCCGAATCTGATAGTCCCCAGACCATAGAATGAGCAGAACATCGAAATATGGGATGTGCTCCTCCTGTTTTACAGAATGATCTGCTCACATCTCTTTCAATACATGTCAGATACCCATGGGGTTTCATACACACCATTATATGACATATAATGTCTGTTATATCACAGAAATCCCCTCCACAACTATTAGAAATGCAAATATAAGGTATGTCTCCTCCATCCCCCTATTACTCTTTTTATCATGTATTTCTGATGGTTATCTTTGTCCTGTGGGGTCATTTGAGTGTTATTTTGGTCAGAAAACATAATGAAAAAACCTCCGAAGTGGTCCGAAGCCCAGAAATAGGATTTATTACATGTGCTCCTCCTAAACTGTAATATCATTATTTCTGTCGTTTTTGAGACCCTATAAATGAAGGATGGAGTCGTTTTGGGGTTTTTAATATCAGGGAATCCAATGGTGATGCTCCCCAGGCCATCCGAAGTGCGAAAAACAAAATAAGCAATGTCTGCTCGAGAAAGTCATATGACATTATTGGATTTATTTTTGAGGTCCCGGGTTCAATTCCCGGAATTGCCCTCTTTTCTAATGATGCCATCATTGACACAGATTGGGAAGCTTACTAAGCCACTTTATCATCCTGATGGAATTACTGTATATGGGCTGGATGTAAACTGACACTCCTGATGTATCACAATTAACTGTCAACTAACAGTGTTTGATGCATCAAAGTAGCAGCTACAGGTGCATGAGGTATTCCACATTATGTCAAGTACAGCACCTCCAAAATGGCATGTCGTCGTGGGCTGCGATGTGAGTTTACCTTTGTCTTGTTCTATACAAAGCTAATCACATGACAGGATGCTGGTGTTCAATACAAAGACATGCTGAAAGCAGACCTGGAAAAGGACCCTTGAGTTTCCAAGATCATCGATGTGGGTGTCATCAATTCGAACGAGAAGACAGTGTACTCCCATGTCACTGTCACAGCTGCAAAGAAGATTGTAGCAGGTGAAGCTGACCGTGGATTGTTGATATGTGGCACTGGCCTTGGTGTGTTTTATCAAGCCCTCCAGCAAGAAGACGGGCTAATGAGGCATGCAGGTGTCGCCATTTCTGCCAACAAAGTCCCTGGTATTCAGGGCATCTTGAGTAACAATGCTCAGGTTCTTTGCATGGGTCAGCATGTCATCAGTATTGAGCTCACCCGTCACCTCACCAAGGAATGGCTGGGCTATGTCTTTGACACCAAGTCCACTTCAGCTGCAAAAGTCGATGCAATTTCTCAATACGAGACAGTCTCTGGAGCATGTTCATGAACAAGAATGGATAATAGTATGCATGTACTATACAACCAGTCATATTAATCAGAATATCACCTGTACTGATTCCAACACCACGTATGCACAATGAAAGATCCTAATTTGCATGACTTTGTTCCATTGAAAGGAAAGCATCCGTGTTTTCAGGGAGAGGCAAGCTGAACAAAAAGGAACTCTTTGGATGACTGGAAAACTGGATTTATTGGCCACCTCTGCTGATACAGCTCAGGTAAATAAGCGCAAACTAATCTACCTCAGTAGCTCATTGTAAGTAAAGGTACACATATCAAGGGAAACCGGTCAGGACAATAAGATAGGAGATAAAAAGGATGGCAAATCAATGGCTACGGCGTTATTATTCTTTTTCAATGGAGCTGGGCATACCCTTCGCTTATATTCCACCCAAATCCTGCCAGCCAGATGAATGCATGATGTGTGCCATGTGTGAGCAATGCGTACCAACAAACGACTTGTCTTTGCTCCTGTCAAACTAGTAAGCTTGGGCAAGGGTGGCATTAGGCCAAGGTAGAAGCGAGATAGAGTTTGGGGCCAAGCAGGGCCATCTTCAAAGAGACATCAGATGACCTGGAGAAAGGACCTGCAAATGAGCAGGGGTACTTCTGCAGAGTCCAAGATATGGGATGTCTCGGTAATCAGTATTTGTGTGGCATGTTGGCAGAAAGAGTGATACACAGGGCATGAGACAAAGACATGGTGGACGGTTTCCAGTGCATCACATTCACTGATGCACATGGGGGATACATTTCTGAATTGTTGGAATCACGTGTACATTGTGTCCAGCTGACATGGCAGTTGAAGAAAAGAGGCAGGCCGGTCTGCCGGCGCAAAGTTCTACATCAACAGTGTTGCAAATGTGACCATGTTCCTGCCATGTATGATTTTATGTTATGGTTTATGCACACTTTATTTGATTTTATTTACTTTTTACGTATTAAAGCTTACAAACTATTATCTGACTTACTGAGAAAGTCTCACAGTACTATTTATAGCATACCAAATGTGTACTTAAGTTGAAGCCTATGCTGGCCTAACCCTCAGCTATGGCTAAGGTTTAATCTACCTAGTCCTATCTCCTTGCTGCGTGATTATTTGAGCTCATCACCCCTCGTCTTATACGTATCTGACTCGCATCGTACTATCTGCCTTGCAGTAGTCTTTGCTTGATTTTGATCGTTGGACTGGTGGCTAACATTTAGCCGTAGCTTGCATAAAAGCTCCTCACTGTTGAGGCACAATGGTGACCAAGCTTATCTATACACTCTGCTTTGTCAAAAACTCGCATACCTCTTGACCAGACCTGAAAGGTCATCGTGTTGTCTTTAGACATTTGTCGAGACAGTTAGACATATGCCGAGCACTGATTTACTAGTGACACTCAGCGTTGCCTTCACCTTATTTATGATCACGGTAGCACTGATTGTCATCTGACAAGTCTGTCACTGCTGCACACGAAGGAGGGACCGAAGAGCAAGGCTTCCGATTCACTACATACTGTATACCCTGTACCTACAACCACCTGCAGCACCTATCCCAGTCCCCACCTTACACAATGGATGACCCATCACACCCAGAGGAACAACGGAGTCAGAGTCAAGCTCAGACTCCTATCGAACCGCATCAGTCGACATCACCAATACCCAGGGAGTACTCTACAGACCCAGCGATGTACCAGTATCAGGCCTCTTCAACCAGCCTACAGTCGGAACAGAGTCAGGAAGCAAAGAAGAGTCTGTGGGGGAAAGCGAAGGAAGCGCTCTCAACATCTGGGATGAAGAAGGCTGGAGGCTCCAAAACTTCCTTGAGAACGACGGAGGGCCGGAAGAAGGGCTTGACCCCAATACAAGAGATGACTGGGCCAGGGACGAGGTTGGTGGGACAGGAATCGATGACCCTGGAAATAGGAATGGAAGATGTGGCAGTAGGGCACCCTCCACAGCTCCCACCAGGTCAGCTCCCCACGAGCCCTCTGGACCAAGAGTGGCTACAACTGGTGAGGGAGTGGAGAGAGGAGTACCGATTGCCTGGCATCCAAGAACTGGGTGGATATTCACCCTGCGACAAGGTGTCGCTGAAGAAGAGCCCGTTGCAGGACCCTCAGGGACCCAGGGTGAGATCCCGATTACTGTCAATCTTGACCCCGAGACCCGAGATGCATTCTGGAGAGAAATTGAGTTCTACAACCCCAACACTGCTGGAGCAGCTACCTCCCCTGGCACAATCACCAATCTCCCGGAGTTCGAACCATCCGTCCCTCCTAGGGCATTCCAGGTCCCCCTCCCCATCAATCAATGACCCTGGACCAGAACCCACCACAAGGTCGTCGAGTCCAACTTCGACACTCGAGATGCCAGGTTCCCCGCAGCGAGAGCGGCCAGACTGGAGCAAGCTAGAGCATGGGAGGCACACATCTCCGAGGCTGAAGAGTGAGTCATACAAGGAAACTTCAACTTCCCCCTCAAGCCTGATGCAACAGAGTCCGAAGCAAGAGAAAGAGCCAAGTTGGCAGGAAGGAGACTATGATATGCCATCTGAAGGGCAGCCACCACCGACGCACAAACGGTGTTGCAACTGCAGCCTATTTACGTGTGTAATTTTGCAATCTAAAGTGTTTTACATGCATACTGAGATATAGTGAGCGAGCGGACTAAAACTACGCATCGACACTAATGCTATGTGGTGCAATGATATGGAATATAACTTATGGCATAAGAAGCAACGGGATTCTAAACAGGACTTAGTCATGGCACTGTACCTGATGGGCATGTGTGATGAGAAGGCCAAACCCTATACCCAATGCCTTAGGCTCTAACTTACAAGCACGCTTGCGGGAGCTAGATAAAACTTTGAAGATTGCAGTGACACTGAGAACACTTAGCATGCTCACTAACTGTGATATGTCATACCTGAAAATCTGGGGAAATCCTTAAGCGAGATGACAGCTATCACCAGCACGAACTTGGGCAATGGGCTTCAGCTGAAGTCTGCAAGCCCATGTCCCATTGTTCTGAGTCCCATTGTTAGAAGACTCACTTGTTGCTGTGTCTACGAGAAGCCTCTGTGAATCCAAGAAAGAAGTCTTGAACGACATACGCCAGGACTGATAGTTCTGGGCACCTAGACCTGTCAGTCACTAGAGAACAAGCCCACGGGTGTCGGGAGAGCACCTCTTGGCATGCGTTTAGCGAGCTCACTATAGAAATGAGACTAAAACTGGGAAGCCCAACTCAGATGCTCAGTAAGGTGGCGGTGGCAACATGCTATGCATGTAGGAGTCTGGGTACTGTGCGACATTTGTAATTCTAATTCCCCTGTAGTATAAGTAGGCTGGTTACAGTAGGTAGAGGCAAGTTTCGAGCCCCCAAGTTCCTGTGCATGCGTTGAAGGTGGTACTGTAACAAAGGATCAGTTTGTGACTTTGAGCTGTGCATAGAATTAGCGAGCTCACTCAGAGAAATACGAGATACCCTTTTGATAAGACTTTTGAGAACTTAGTCAGAGTGAATACGAATCAGTGAAGCTGTTTCTGTTCTGTTGAGTGTGATAAGTCTGTTCAGAGAATGTGTTGAAGTGGAAATCTGAGATCTGTTCTGTTCTGTTTCAGTCTGTTCCGTGTCAGTTCTGTCGAAGTTCCGTTTCTGAATCGGTTTTCCGAGCGCTTCTGAAGTGTTCTTAAGTCAAGATAACCTGCTGGAGTTAGTTGGAGAACCCCTACATACAGTTGTGTAGTGAGTGGGCTAAGTCAGTGCTTGCCTGTGGTGTTCTTTTAGTGAGCTCACTAAAGTTTCAGCGTGTATTGCCTCTGTTTCTGTCGGGATCAGTGTCCCTTGTGTATTATAACTCAAATTGGCCTTGAAGGTTGTGTTGCGCCAGTGAACGACCTTCCTGTAAAAAGTTCCTAGACTTAGGAATTCATTAGAGAAAGCTTAGCTTCGCTAAGAGCGCTGAGAATAAGAGAAACTCTTCAAGATATTGAAGTATAGTTGGATCGCATTAGAAATAATCGCTCCCCCTAGAACTTACGAGGGTGATTGTAGTTTGTGTAGTTGTGTGAGTGTGTGTGTGGGTTTTTGAGGTTCACCTTTTAGCCTGCTCACTATTCCACAGGTGCCCACAGCCAGCCTCTTCAATGGATGCCCTTGATAACTACCACAATGACCTCTGGGCAGAAGACTCAGACCTCAGGAGGTGGAGGGCACGAAATGCCGAGAACGCTGCCCCTCGCAGCGATCAGACCCGCCATACTGGAGGAAATTAGAGCAGTAGTCATGAGGAGAGTGAAGATGGTGCTGCTGCTGTTGTGGATGCTGATGTGAGAGGATCTATATGAGATAATGGCAGCAGACATGGTAGAAGACCCGCAGTGGATCTTGACTGAGGCCGGAGAGGATTATCATGATGCCAAATATAGGAGAGATGTACTCACCATGCAGAACATCATGGAAGTCGAAACCTGGCATAAGGCCACCATCGTGTGGAACCTCTGCCACGACAGGCATCAAAGGCCAGGATGTGAACCATACCGAAGGCCTGCGATGATGCCACACCTGTGGAAAACAGAAGGACTTCAAGCGGGGGGAGGAGGCGAGGAGAAGGAAGTGCCCGACACAGGACCCTCAGATCCGAGAAAGGGCAAAGGAACGAAATTGCCGACAATACTGCCATGACCTTCTCCGGTGCCATATCATAATCGACTGGGAGGATACCCTTCCCCATGCCATAACCATAAACTAAGGTCGCTACCACGTCCTCCAAACCCACCTCTACCACCTGTGCCACCGTCCCTGCCAAATACGCCACCGGCATGGTCAGGACTGGCAGATAAAAACCCCTGGGACGAGGTAAAACCAAAACTCATTACCATCCCCGAGTTCTTCTACAGGGAATCCAAGGACATTTGGAGGTTCTTTAATCACTGTGAACTGTACTTCGTGGTATTTCCACGACAGTACTCCCTGAACGAAGAAGGCATAAACCCATTTCAAATTACCTTCACCCAATCGTACCTAAGGGGAAAGGCTCAAGACTGGTGGGTCCATCAAGACCATAAGTTCCACAACAAGGAATGAGGTCATTGGAGGCTGCCCACATGAGAGGAGTTCCATCAAGCAGTAATTGGAGAATTCAGAGAAGTAGTGGAATTAGTGATAAAGTGGCAGCAGTGGAAGAAGCTGAGGCAAGGGGACTTTCCTTCGGCCATCAAATTCTTCAGGAAATTCAAAGAGTTGGCCCACAAGTGTGAAGAGTTCGACAATGAGAAACAGATGTTCGCAACGATTGAGGATGCGATTCACCCCACTGTCAAAAACACCATCATGCATGGGGACAACAAGCACCCCACAATGTACGATGAGTGGAAGAGGCGTATTGAGCGCATTGACGCAAACTACCGATACGGCCTCGCGCAGAAGGACACGCATAAGACCTCCCAGGATTCAACTGGTAGAGGCAGCCAAAACAAATCTGCCAGAAAAGCCAGCAGCTCTGGGAATTCTGGTGACAAGAAGGATGCCACAGGAATGACGTACAGGGGCCAAGGGCAGCCAATGGAGATTGACCAGTTGTGAAGCAAGAAGCGATGCTTCAAATGCAGGAATGCCGGATGGAGCTGAGGTCACAAATGCCCAGAAGATAGGGCGAAGTGGATTCTGGTTAAACTTCCGCCATGGAAGAAGATCCCTGCCCAATGCCTATGGCAGATGCTACAGGAAGCAGAAAAGGAGGAAGCGCTGGGAAAAGATATGAAAGTCGAGGAGGTCAAAGAGTCAAAAGACGAGCCAGCGTTGCACTAAGCGATTCCACAATGTCAGCTAAGGACTTAATTTCTATTGGTACGAGCTCTCTAGTCACTGGTTGGACTTATACTATGTATGTAGGTACCCTGTACAAACAATATACCAATTTTACGCTGCTCGATACCGAAGAAATTGAGAAAGAATTGCAAAAATCCCAATCCAGCAGGAGACTCGGCAAGCCAGTTGGAGGAAAGACGACCGAAGGGTCGCATCCCCAGCATGTGGCTACCTCAATCAAGGTCAACCCTTGCCCCGAATCCAACAAGAGCGACCAAATCCCACCACAAGGTCCCTCTTGGACCGGTGACCAAATGCCACCGCAAGGCTCGACTCGCCGGTTGGTTACAGTAGAAGACATTCCAGACCCAGAGGATCACCTTCACTCGGATATACCGGTCCAAGTCCCGGGGAGGTCCCACTCAATACACGGAGAAGTGGTTAAACCCGTCAGACCTGTCCTGGACACCTACTATGAACCATTCGGACCTCATTGGACCCGGAGAGCCCTAAGACTCGCAAAGACTAGCTCGGAAGCTCGGGCTATGATGAATGCATGGGTACATCCACGAAGAAAGGGGGAGGTGACCAATGAGTTGTGCAAGGCATTAAAAGAAAAGGAGGAGTCAGTGTCCAAAGTGAGAAATAACTGGGAATGGCTGGAGGACTTAAAAAAACTGCCTATGTACATACGAGGAAGAAAGGGGAAGAGCATATTAGTCAATCTACAGCTTGAAACCTTAGACTCGTGTGATACATTCGAGATCCAAGCCTTAGTCGACAGCGGCTGCACTGGAAGCTCCATTGACCAGGAGTGGGTACGGACAAAGCAGATCAGAACCAAGAAGGCCGCCAGACCCACCCCAGTGTACAATGCAGACGGGACAAGGAATAAAGGAGGAGATATCACAGAGTATGTGGAAGTACGGATTAAGATAGGAGACCACGTGGAAAGAATCGAACTCGTGGTAGTAGACCTCAGCGGGACCCCTCCAATCTTCTTAGGGCATGATTGGCTACAGCACCATAATCCCCTAATTGACTGGACCACAGGGTCCATAACCCTCACCCGCTGCACATGCAGGAAGATACCTTTTTCTCTTCCCGACAAGGACCCCTTATCCCGCTGGGGAGAAGAATACGAAGAGGGAGACACCATTCTTGTCGTAGACTTCGAGGAGGCATTTAATATCCAGGCCATGGGTACCAAGGCCAATGAACTAGCAGCCAAAGCAAATGATAAAAAGAAGGAAAAAACATTTGAAGAAATTGTGCCGGAAGAGTACCGAGAGTATAGGGATGTATTTGATAAAGAAAATTTTGATGAGTTACTGCCCCAAAAACCATGGGATCACACTATCGAGTTAGTCCCTAACGCAAATGCAAACCTCAACTGTAAGGTGTACCTGTTAAGCCTAGTGGAACAAGAAGAGTTGGACAAGTTCCTAGACGAAAATCTAGCCACGGGAAGAATCCAACCTTCAAAGTCTCCAATGGCATCCCCATTCTTCTTTGTCAAAAAGAAAGACAGTAAACTGCATCCAGTACAGGATTATCATAAACTCAACGAGATGACCATAAAGAATCAATACCCCTTGCCGCTTATCGGAGAGTTAATGGACAAACTAAAGAAGGCTAAATATTTCACCAAATTGGATGTATGGTGGGGTTACAATAATGTGCGCATCAAGGTGGGGGATGAGTGGAAGGCCATGTTCCGTACTAATTGAGGCCTCTATGAACCATTAGTAATGTTCTTTGGGCTCACCAACTCTCCAGCCACATTCCAGTGGATGATGAATGACATCTTTAAAGACCTCATCACAGCCAGTGAAGTGACTGTGTACCTAGACAATATTTTAATTGCTTTCCATACTAAGGCGGAGCATCATCGCACTGTCAAAAAGGTCCTAGCCCTTCTATGCAAGCACAAACTATTCCTTAAGGCAGAGAAATGCGAGTTTGAGGTGGAAGAAACGGAGTATCTGGGAGTAATTGTGAGCGAAGGAAAGATCTGAATGGACCCCATCAAGATCGCCAGATTACTCGATTGGCCCGTACCACAGAAGAAGCAGGAACTGCAGTCTTTCCTAGGTTTCTGTAATTTCTATCAAAAATTTATCTGAAACTACAGTAAACACGTTAAGCCACTGACTATCTTGACTGGAAAGACTGAGTGGGCCTGGGGAAAGGCATAGCAAGAAGCATTCAAAAAGATTAAAGAGATGTTCTGGGAGGACGTAGTACTAACAATTCCCCTCGACAAAGGAAAGTTTAGGGTAGAGGCGGACTCGAGTGAAGGAGCCATCAGTGCCGTTTTATCACAAGAAGACAAGTGGAGGCCAGTAGCATTCCTGTCCAAGTCCTTATCCGCCACCGAGTGCAATTATGAAATATATGATAAGGAGTTGCTAGCAATTATGATTGCGCTGGAGGAGTGGCGGCAATATTTGATGGGGGCTTGGGAGGACTTCGAGATCTGGACAGATCATTCGAACCTCCAATATTTCCGTAAGCCCCAGAAACTCAATCGGAGGCAGGCGAGGTGGGTCATGGAGTTGGCAGAATATCAGTTCACTCTACACCACAAACCTGAGGCGCAAAATTGCAAGGCTGACCTTTTGTCCCAACGAGTGGACCACGATCAAGGGAAGGGGGACAATCAGGACATCACTGTACTAAAGGTGGAGCATTTCCGAGCCTTGATAATGCCCACTGCAGAGGAAATTCACGAAAAGGTAAAACTCATGGTGCATGATCCACGTAAATGGGATAGAGGTATCTCCGACTCCCTGAATCACGAGAAGGGAATAACATGGGAGCACGACCTCCTAATGTATGACGGACATATATATATCCCCCAAGATAAATCATTATGAGGAGAGATCATCGCCCTCAAACACGATCATGTCACCGCGGGCCACTCTGGTATAGAGAAAACCAAAGAACTTATCCTTCGAGAGTATTGGTGGCCGAGGATGCATTGTGATGTTGAGGCATATGTGAAAGGATGCAAAACATGCCAACGGGTCAAGGCAGACCATAGACCCAAAAGGGCCCCGCTTCATCCAAATGAAATACCTCAGAGTCCCTGGACTCACATATCCATCGATATGATCACAAAGCTCCCGGATTCCAAAGGGCATGATTCTATCCTGGTCATAGTTGATCGCTTCTCTAAGGCAATTATCCCTGTCACCTGCAATGAAGGACTAATGTCAATGGACTTTGCGAAAATCCTCAGGGACCACGTTTACATACCATATGGGATTATGCTGAAAAAAGTGATATCTGACAGGGGGTTGGTGTTCATATCCAAATTCATGAAAGAATTTTACACTCTGCTCCGGATCGAAGGCAATCCATCCACAGCATACCACCCTCAAACTGATGGGCAAACAGAACGTGTAAATCAGGAGATTGAAAAATACCTGAAGATGTTTGTCAACTCACATCAGGATGACTGGAGCGAATGGTTACCTCTCGCCACCTTTACTCATAACAATTGACAACATTCCTCTATGGGCTACTCCCCGTATAAAGTCATATTTGGAAGGGATGGGGAGGTAATTACCATTGCACGACCAGAAGGAACCATACCAGCAGCATCAAAGTTAGTGACGGGAATTCAAGAGGTACAAGAAGGGGCAAAAAGAGCATTGGAAAAGACGGCAGAGGAGATGAAGAAGGCTTACGACAAACACAAAAGGCCCACAGTAGAGTACAAACCAGGAGATTGCATATGGCTTGACGCTACCCACCTACATCTACCGTGTCCAACCAATAAGTTGGGAGACCGTCGCATTGGACCATTCAAAATTGTGGCAAAAAAGGGCGCATCCACTTACAAACTCAAACTACCATCTAAGTGGCAGATTCACAATAGATTCAACGAATCTATCCTCACCCCCTACATCGAACCAGTGTTCTCCAATCAACCTCAACCTGAAAGACCACCACCTGAACTTATCGAAGATGAAGAAGAGTACGAGATCGAGAAAATTGTGGAACAGAGGGACAGGATATCTGGAAGGGGAAAACATCGCAAACAGATCACCGAGTACTTAGTGAAGTGGAAGGGCTACCCATCAGAAGAGAACTCATGGGTTAAATGCTCCGACATGGTGAATGCCGAGGAACTATTGAACAAATACGAATCATGCATTCAAAAGGTTCACTGGTTCCAAAATCCAAACAGTAAATGGGTAGGGAAAGATGACAAAATCCCAGATGGGCTACCTACACCATCTATCTCTCCTTGCATCACCATTGTACCTTCATCACAATGCTCATATCCAGGCCATGGCCACACCATCCATAATAACGATTCAATCCCTGACGATGAGGACACTGACTTGGAAGCAGAAATCGATATAACCAGCCTAAGATGAGTAGAAGAAAATTGGGACCCCGACGCAAAAGACGATTTTTCTTTATATTCTCTATCTGCTAAAACCTCTGAGTACAACTCTATTTCATCGTTCGGGACGAACAAGTCTTAAGAGGGGGGTAATGTTATGGTTTATGCATGCTTTATTCGATTTTATTTACTTTTTACATATTAAAGCTTACGAACTATTATCTGACTTATCGAGAAAGTCTCACAGTACTATTTATAGCATACCAAATGTGTACTTAAGTTGAAGCCTATGCTGGCCTAACCCCCAGCTATGGCTAAGGTTTAATCTACCTAGTCCTATCTCCTTGCTGCATGACTATTTGAGCTCATCACCCCTCGTCTTATACGTATCTGACTCACATCGTACTATCTGCCTTGTGGTAGTCTTTGCTCGATTTCGATCGTTGGACTGGTGGCTAACATTTTACCCATCTGCAAAAAATACAGTCTCCTCAAAAGCGAACTTCCAGGAAAAATCCAGGTCTAGTTGGGCTTGTAGTGTGCACTCGGAAGAACTTTGTATGCTGAAAAATCACTAGATATATAACTGTTAGATTGGATTTTGTTGCGCATGGCAGAATTTTCCAATAGCATATGGCTAGCAGTTTCTGTACTAGCTATAGCTTTTACGGGCTTGAAGCTTAGTTGGCATGACACCTGTCACAAACCATGAGGTAAATATTGTGACCATTTCAATAAATTCGATAAAATCCATCTAGGTCTATACAACATCTTCATATGCATCAAATTCATGCCGCCGATAAAGTTAGATTCTATAGCATGGGCTGTTGCCACTCTTCATACTGCACCTCCAGTTTCTAGCTGTCTATACAGATCATTGACATAACTCTCATGAATTTGAAGTATGTGATGTGCCCATCAAGCATCTTGTTATTGAAAGGTTCTGTGGGGATGGGTATGGACACATGAAGTGTAGACTTGGACATTACATCAGGGATCGGCTCATTGTCATCAGGCTGTGACTGTATACATGCGCTGATACCCTTCGCAAAGGCACAACAAATGAGTCTAAGGCAGCAAGAAAACATGGAAAAAGAGGGTGATATAGGAATTGGCTCTGACTCTTCCGAAGCTGTAAGGAAGTCAACTTTCTCCTTGGACAGACTTTGCCATGTCTGTGTTCAGTCAAACCATTCAGCGAATGGCATGTCTGCAGACTTCAGCTGTAACAGTCTCAGTGTCAGCTGCTCCTTGATTACAACAATCTCATAGCAGCAGCAAAACATCAGCAAGACATAGTAAAGTGCCTCGATGTCATGCTGGTACAGATGGCCAATATCAGACTGATTCAAAAGTTCATGAGCCATATAAGGCGGTGTGCCCATGTGGTGGGGAAATGTAGTTCCCATCAGAGGAAAAAAGGAGGAGAGGTCGAAATCATTTAGTATGCTGCAAACTTTGTCATCCTTTGGTCTTTTTTGAAACATGACATTTGCCATACTAATGTCTCAATGAAGAATCTTCACATGATCAAATAGTCACCTATAACCTAGACTGTCATATGTTATACTCAGATGCTAGAGATAGAAACAAAAGTGATATACATTGTAGTATATCAAGAAAGGCTTGAGCGATATCCTTGACATTGGCCAGGTCCATCATGGGAAAGAGATGTTCTGACATGGTGATGCGAAGAAGGTGCTCCTCATATATGAGTGTCTTCCCATCGACATAGGATCCCATTCTCAAGAGCTCCATCAACTTTCTCCAAGGTAAATCTTTATTGTCGAAGCTGAAGTCTTGGGAATGAAAGATCTCAGGAAGATGATCCAGAACCCAATGCCTCTCGCCTTGACCAGCCATCTCATCAGCCTTGACCTTCGCAGCATCCGCCAGCCTCTTCTCTGAGTTGCAATAGATGCTTGGCAAGCTGATCTTGACTACAAGTTACTTACCAGGCCATTCCGGGCACTCAGTGGTAATGACACAGATGTTCCTCCCAACAAGACCTCGCTGGCAGTCAATGATGTCTCCGAGGGTGAGAACAATGTCAGATTTATTGGCTTTCTTCAAAGTTATCTTCAGATCCTTCAAGAGATTTGCAGGATTCCTGTGGTCAATCTTTTCAAAAGACTTGATGTAACGCTCTTCGATAATGCGATCAAGAATACAGTGTTAGGGAAAAGCGAAACAATAGCATCCAATAAGCATTGGAGGCTCTTCATCGACAGAAGATGGTTCAGAGGCTCCCGACGTGTCTCTGTCATGAGCATTGTGGTGGTATAGTTGAAAAGGATATTGCCTCTCGAGTCCTCATTCAGGTATCATGAAAGGATCCATGAGTGGATATAGAGAATAAGTGGCACAGATAAGAATGAGTATGGTGACAGAACTGTTCGTGCTGTTACAGGCACTGGAGACAATGCAGTGGAATCTGGATGTTGCATAGACACGAGATTGGTTAATGAGTGGCATCTTGTGTATAGTAAGTGCAAAGCAGTGACAGTCAAAATATTCCCAAGGCTACTAGTCTGAGCTTCACCATGCTCAATGTGACAGGACATTAGAGTTCAGAGCAAAAATTTGACATTTGAATGCAACTTTGTATGCCTATCTATGTGAATATACACTTGTTCAACCTCTGAGATGTTAGGCTTCACTACTGATCATTTTTAATAACTAGGGAGTGGCCACCAATATCTGACATGATCGCCAAAAAGTCCGAGTAGACAACATATCCGCCGAGCGTCTCTTCATCAAAGGGCACAGGGATCTGGATGCTGCTGGGACAATTTGTAAGATCATGCTCACTCAGTGGAATGAAATTTGCAGGAATCTTTCGTTTCAGATTGGGTTGAATCTTGGATTTGGTCTGTGCATGGAAACCATCACCAAATGCAACCCAGATGTCTTGAAGCCAAGGAAGAAAGGCAGAAAATGATGTCAAAGTAGGAATGGGCATGTCCTCAGCTAGGAAGCATCTCTTCTGCCTAGATAGGGCTTCCCACATCATCATTCGGTCTAACCAGTCAGAAAATGGTGGTTTCTTCCCCTTTTCCATTTTCAATTCCTTCATTGTGGACCCCTTGTCAGAGCACACAATCTTGTAACGACAGCAGAGCATCATCAAGACATAGAACAGGGCTTCGATATCATGACAATACAGATGGCTGATGTCGGTTGCATGCAGAAGGTCACAGGCCATATAAGGTGCAGTACCTGTATGATGGAGAGATGAGGCATCTCGGAGAGGAAGAAAAGAGGAGAGGTCGAAATCATTGAGGACACCACAGACTTGCCTATGTCTCCTTCGATACATCACATTGGTCATACTGATATCACAGTGGAGAATCATTGGGTGATCAAAGAGCCATCAATGACCTAAATTGACATGCTTTAGATTGTAGCTTGAAGGAGGAAAATGGTGTCAAGAAAAAAAACATACACTGCAATATATCAAGAAAAACCTGACCAATCTCCTTTACATCATTGAGGGTGTTCAAGGGAAAGAGGCGTTCAGAGACATTAATACAAAGAAGATGCTCTTCATATATGAAAGTCTTTCCATCCACATAGGATGCCTCTATCAACAGCTCCATCAGCCTTCTCTGGGGTGAAGCTTCATCATCAAAGTGGAAGTCTTGGGAATGAAGGATATCGGGAAGATGATCTAAAACCCAATGCCTCTGGCCCTTGCCAGCCATCTCCTCAGCCTTGGCCTTCACAGCATCCACCAGCTCAAGGGGGTTGCGGCCCGGCAAGCCGGCACATCGGGTCAGTCGGTCCAAAAGGTCCTTAAAAATTTTTTGCCCCCCTCTTGTAAAATATCATCCAGAGAACCTAGACACTGCTAGAGATGTTTATTTCAGCTGATATATGCAGGGTAATGACCTCACATAACCCAAAGAGTGCTGGAAAAGCAGTCAAATCGATGTTGAAGGCTTGAAGCGACAATGGCATGGTGCCGGATATCGGCAGGATTAGTCAGTACTGAGTTACCGGCCATAAAAATATTTTCGAGTTCTTTCTCCGCTTTTGCTTCCAATGACAATACTGCGAGACAGAATTGGTGAGTTGAAATTGAATACATCTGTGTTGGAATGCTCACAAGATTGGATAGTATCACATTCAATGCGTTGGCCTGGAACGATGGGTCCCAAATTGGAAGTGTCGGTCATGTACAGTAGGAAAGCATTGTTGCTAGCAGACAAAAACTGTATATCATCAGCATTTAGATTGAGGATGAGAGGACTACATAGGTGGAAAGCTTGCACTGGCAGGTGACCCCGACATGGAGTGATTACATGATGTTTTCCTTGTGGGTATGTTTTTCCCATGATGGTTGGTCGGTCGGTCCATCGAGGCCTTAAAAAATTTTTCGACCTGATATGATTTTTTTGGTTTTTGCGACCCCCTTGCACCAGCTTCTCCTCTGAGTCGTGATGGATACTTGGCCAACTGATCTTAACTACAAGTTGTTGCCCAGGCCATGCTGATGAGCGAGCAGCAACAACACATGTGCCCCATCCAATGAGATCTTGCTGGCAATGGAGTATTCCACCAAGCTCGAGAATAATGTTGGTTCCGTTATCTTTCTGCAATATCATCTGCCAACCATGGAACAGATGTGCAGGATTTCTGAATGGTCCAAAACTCTTCATGTAGGGATCTGTGAGAATGTGATCAAGGATTCCATGCTGTGAGAGAGTAAGACAATGACATCCTATGAGCATTGCAATGAATGGCTCTTTGTCTTCTTCATCGGCTATGTCAATGGCCTGAGACACAACAACAGAAGATCGATCATAGTATATGAGCTGGAGGCAGTCACGGTCAATCAAAGTGACCAGTGCATGCAACCACAGCCCAGCACTGCAGAGTATATGTGTCGCATATCTCGCGCACTGTATACGAGTTTTTTCATCACTAGGAAGACCTCTGGGAAAGCCATCTTTGTCAATCGGGCCTAGTGCCTGTTTTGCTGTGCCTGAGGGTTGGCTGCCATGTGATACACATAATACCTTCAAAAAAGACTTAAAAATCATCAGTTAGCTAGTGATAACAGACAAAAAAGTGACAGCTTACTTCATCACTACAATCTGATTTCTGCTTCCTGGAGCTCGAAGAAACACTTGATGTCAAAGGAACATTGTTACGGTTTACTCATTTCTTTTTCTTTTCTTTCCTTTTCTCTACGTATTCATGATTACTCCACCATGCGGTCCTGATCAGACATTCTCACAGTACTATTTTTAGTGTACCCAACATGTATTTAAGGAGAGCCTCAGCTGGTCTAAACCCCAGCTTCGGCTAAGGTTTAATCTACCTAACATCGAACTCCGTTCTTCGCGACTATCTAAGTTCGCTCCTGGCTCTATCATTTCGTCTTTGACCTCCGAGTGTATTGTCCACCGAAGTGCGAGTGGCGATCCTTGGTTGATCTAAGTCGATAAGAGTTAGTGGCTAACATTTAGCCGAAGCTCGTCCCACGTTGCCCAGCGCCACGTCAAAGAACGAACGCTGCCCAACAACTTACCTGCTAATTCCTGAAATTCGTTTGACCAGTGAGGTCATCGCCCTACGTTCGTGAGAACAGTCTCGTGACTGTTAGCATACGACGAGTGGACCAACGGTCCAACACGAAACCCTTCCAACTATCCCTAAAGTTAGCCTCAGTGCTAGCAGTCATACTGCTGACGCTGACTGACCCATTCCCTACCGACGATCTCTGGTCAATGACCGGTTCCACATACGAAACCGACCTTAACTTGATAATCGCCGTACTCACCGCCCTCACCATCCTTGCTCTAGCCGTCATATGGTCCACCGTAACCGTCGGACTTTTATCAAAATAAGTTCACAAACGGATGCCCTTATCCGACGCCATTCCCGCAATCTCTGCCATTTTTATTCTCTTTTTCTTATCCATCTTCTTGTACCAGATCCATCAGTGCTGCCGCCAACAAAGGAGGGTTCGCGCTCAACTACCCTTCCATTACATGCCCAGCACGCCAGCGTATCCCCCTCCCATAATCTTCATTCCCACAGCTTCTCAGCAAACCCTACACGATGGCCGACCCATCACACCCAGAGGACCTGGAGGATCCCTTTACGAGTCGTCGCGACCCAGCTCACGATCCTCAGAGTCGAGCACCGACTCCTACAGAAGCGCTACCGCCGAGTCAGTCGACATCACCGATACCCGGGGCATATTCCTCGACCGAGGAGACTCGCCCCTACCAGGCATCTTCGACCAGTCTCCAGTCGAAGGCGAGTCAAGTACCGACGGAGCCGGAGGACAAGTCAGTGGGCCTGTGGACGAGGGCGAAGAAGGCGCTGACACTGAGCTCGAAAGGCTCCGAATCGAAGACCTCCTTGACGACCTCTACCCGAACGAGGAGGAAAATGCAACCCATACCGGAGACAACTGGAGTGGGCACTCCCAGACAGAGTGGTCTGACGCAGACTGGGGCAGCGAGCGGAGGAGATACGAGAAGAGGGGACCCCGAGACGACTACAACAACGATCCCGGAGAGCTTGCCCTTGGGGCCTCCGCCGCGACTACCACCCGTACAGATGGAGCAAAGCCCGTTCCAGATGCTTGGCCGCCTAGCAGAGGGGAGCCCGTTGCTTGGTACCCACGTACCAGTTGGGTCTATGCAGACCCCAGGGAAACACCTCCTGTGGCCGGAGTTGAGACCAACAACTCCGAGCCTGAGCGGGAAGAGACCCAGCTCGATACGCAGCCCGCCACCGTCCCCACGCACGAGCCGACAGATGGGGAGCTTTGGGGTGAGTTTCCAGAATACGACTCCGAGGAACTTGGGGCAATTGCCAGGGCCGGAGACCTCGCCCGAGTCCCTGACTTCATTCTGTCGGTTGCCTCGCGAGCCTTCACCGACCCCGTCCCAGGCTCCCAGCGCCCGTGGCCTCTTCTCTACCACACGTACGTTGAGTCCCTCCGACTCCCTTGAGATGCCCGGCTCGCCCCAGAAGTCCAGGCCCTCATGGACCGAGGAAGAGCGCATGACGCACACATCCGTAGAGCCGAGGAAGATGCCCTCCAGGGACCCAACGGGTGGTGGGACCTCCCCCTCGAACCCGACGCCACCCCGAGGGAGATCAAGAACAGAATGCGCGCCGCCGCCGTCCGATACTCAGGCGCCGCCCGATGTGCCAGAACAGACCTCGAAGCGAGACGAAGAGCCTGGAACTCCTACCAGGCAGAGATCAGCGACGAGGACTTGGACATCGGGAGGTGGAGAAGAAACCAGGAGATCGACCGCGTCACCAGAGAGAGGCAGACGGCCAAGGATGCCCAGTCGGCCCCCAAACCAGGCCCTCGAACCGACGGTGATGATGGCCGTAAGGACGGTCCTGCTTAACGGACCAGTCCCGAGGCCTGCCATCTTCGACCTCCTCCCGTGGCATGGTCTATACGAAATAATGATGGAGGACATGGAAAAGGACCCGCAGTGGCTATTTACGGAAGCGGGAGAGGACTACCGCCAAGCCAAGTTTATTGGCGACGTATACCTCATGAAGAACATCCTCGAGGTGGAAACCTGGCATAGGGCAGCAATAGTATGGAACCAGGTCCATCCCGACACAACCCAGCGGGACTGCGAGCCGTATCGCCGTCCCCAACCGATGCCGAACCCCTACGATATCGGGGGGTTCTTCCCGGAAGGATTTCTCGGCGGAGCAGGAGGAGGCGACGATGGGGGTCCCATTGACGTAGGGGAAGGAACCTCCTCACGCAAAGGGAAGGAGTCCACGGTACCGAGAAACCCACCGATGGGGCCACCCGCAGGGAAGGGACCTTCCCTTCCGTCGTTCCCAGGGGACTATCTGCCCCCTGGGGAGAACTATCGGCTAAGGTCTCTTCCCTGCCCTCCTAAACCGCCTGCACCACCTTCGCCGCCGTCACCGCCCGATCCCATTGACCCATGGGTCTTAGCCCCGGGAGCCGTGAACAACCCCTGGAACGATGTCAAGCCCAAGCTGATCACGCAGCCGGAGTACTTCACTGGGGTGTCCTCGGACATCAATTGCTTCCTCCATCACTGTGAAGCATACTTCCAGGTCTTCTCCATGTACTATACCATGAACGCTCAGGGGCAAAACCCCTATCGAATCACGTTTGCTATGGGGTACCTACGTGGCGAAGCCCAACAGTGGTGGGGCGACCAATATTACTGCTATCGGGACCTGCGGGGGCATTGGAGGTTTCCTACATGGGAGGAGTTCTCTCATGACCTAACCATGCAATTCCGAGAAGTCGCCGAGTTAGCCATCTGGAAGCGGGAGTGGAAGAAGGTTCGCCAGTCGGACTTCAAGTCGGCCGTGGAGTTCTTCGCGAAGTTTGAACGCTTAGCCCACAAGTGCGAGGAGTTCGGAGATGAAAAACAGATGTTCGAAGCGGTGGAAGCGGCGATAAGGCCGACGGTGCGAAATACGGTTATGCATGGGGACAACGAGCGCCCCACAACCTACGCACAATGGAAGGCGTGGGTCTTAAGGATCGACGCCAATTATAGGTACGGGGTCACCCAAGGGTTGGGCAGTAAGCCCTCCTTGAACCAAGGAGGTTCGGGTCGAGGCAATCAATCATCACAGAAGGGAAGCGGCCAGAGTTCTAGTGGCGATAAGAAGGACGCCACGGGAACGACCTATGGAGGTGCCGGCCAGCCGATGGAAATCGATAAGCTGCGGAGCGATAAGCGGTGCT